ATTCAAGTGGAACATCCTCCCAGGGGGTGGAGAGCACTGTCCCTTTGTGGCCAGCAGTATCAGCAGGCTCCAGGGTGCATCCACGAGGGGCAGACCACTCAGTTCCCTTCTGCTGCCTGCTTGCCTCTCGCTTGGCATCTACGGTGCATCTCAGACTCTCATGGCACAAACCCAGCTCCTCACCTTTCTCCCAAAACCTGCCCTGCAGCCTTCCCCATCTCAGACGATGGCAGCTGGCCTTACCCTTGGCTTAGGCCAGAAACCGCTGCAGTCATCCTTGCCACCTCCATCCTTCACACGTCACATCCACACTTCAGAGTGTGTCTGTCCAGAATCTCACCCAGCCTCGCCCCCCAGCCAGCACCTCTTTCTGGATGGTGCAGAGGCCTTTGAGTCTNAAAGACACACTCGTGCATCTGTGTCTGTCAGCAGCCATACCACTGGCAGTGATAACAATAATTTCCTCACAAAACCAGTAGTAAGCTTCAGCCCCGTTTACATATGTTGACATTTGAACAGCAATTCTTTTCTCCAAAAGAATAACATAAAATGAGAAAAACGTTATGAGGGATATACACCTGGGCTTAATTGTGACCGTTTTTACTCAGAAGTAAATCCCTTCAGACATTAAGGATGAAAACCCCATGGTGATGTTAACTTGAGCAGAAGAAAGCAAGTGTTACAAACTGCAGGCCTGTCTCTGAACACAAAAGGGTGGTGTGTCCCACAGATACATGCTGACGGCCATCTCTGCTTCTTTCAGCGCATGCCGGCAGACAAGGCCTATTTCATAGCAAAGGAGATTCTCTCTACAGAACGAACATACCTGAAGGATTTAGAAGTTATTACCGTGGTATGAAACCCAAGCCTTGTTTACTTTGATTTTCCTAATATGTCTTAAATCTGAACACAGAGGCTTCTTCCTGAGAAATATCTCTTGGTGATCATGTATCTATGGTGTTAAATATATCCTTAAAACATGTATACATGGTGTTATCTATATATGGTATTACATGTATATCTGGTATTAAATATATCCTTAAAACATGTATACATGGTGTTATCTATATATGGTATTACATGTATATCTGGTATTAAATATATCCTTAAGACATGTCTAAGTCAGGTGAGAACATTGGGGTCCAAGTTCTTGTGAAGGTATAAAGCTGGAAATGTGTCCATTTAAAACTTTAAACCGGGCCGGCCTGGTGGCGCACTGGAGAGTGCGCCGCTTGGGAGCGCAGCGGCGGCGCTCCCGCTGAGGGTTCGGATCCCATGTGGAGACTGGTTCCCGCTCACTGGCTGAGTGTGGTGCAGGTGCAACACCAAGGGTTGCGATCCCGTTACCGGTCAGTAAAAAAGACAAAAAAAAAACAAACAAAAAACAAACACTTTTAACCTAGAATTGTTTTGTTATATTTGAAAATTGGGTCGTCAGCAAAGAGGATGGCTGTAGTACTGATCTGAGCTGTCCTTGTAGTCAGTAATTAGAGGGTCTTTTAACCTAGAATTGTTTTGTTATATTTGAAAATTGGGTCATCAGCAAAGAGGATGGCTGTAGTACTGATCTGAGCTGTCCTTGTAGTCAGTAATTAGAGGGTCATTGCTGGGTGCCATCTGTCGGTCCTCAGCAAGGGCCATACCTCCCATCATGCTGAGCTCCTCCCACAGTGGTTCCGCAGTGCGGTGGTCAAGGAGGACGCCATGCCTGCAGCCCTGATGACCCTGCTCTTCTCCAACATCGATCCTGTCTATGAGTTCCACAGAGGTTTCCTGCGTGAGGTGGAACAGAGGCTGGCACTCTGGTAACACTGCTGCACCCTGGGCAGCCCCCACTGCCTGGACCCCACACGCATGTCCCCTGCATCCTGACCCCCACTGCACACATTGGCGGCCCCTTCTCCCTGAGCCCTCACATGGGCAGCCCGCAAGTCCTGGACCCCCACGTGGGCAGTAAATGTGTCCTAGAAATGGGTGGCCCCTGCCCTCGTCACCATCACTGCTGTCAGGAACTTCCTGGCTTCAGAAACTAATCCAGAAGAGTCATTACTTTATTGAAGTTTATTTTTAAATCCTGTGAGGAGAGGTAGAAATGTATAATAACCTCTGTTCATCCTATTCTAGAAAAGAGGGTGAAAGGAACAATTTAAAAGTAGATGATCCCTTTTTTGCCTGGTTACCATCTTTTCTGGATAATGGCCTTCCAACTCAAGCCATCTCATTGTCATTGATCTGACTGTGGCTAGGGCAGCTGGCCACACTAGCATCAATTCATGTTGTGTCCCACAAGCTTTCACAGGGTTTTGAACCTCTTTGTTCCTCTTTACTACAGGGAAGAGCCCTCCAATGCTCACACAAAAGGCAGTCATCAACGAATTGGGGACATCCTGCTCAGAAACATGTGTCAGTTAAAGGTAGGACAGTTTGCACGGTAACTCCAAGCTGAGCACAAATGCTGTGGACAGAAGCGATCTGTCATTCCCCTCAGAACAGAGTTCCCCTCAAAAGAGCATTCCACCCAAAACAGTATTCTCCAGAACAGAATTGCCCTCAGAACAGAGTGCCCCTCAGTAAAACATTCTCCTCCAAACAGGGTGCCCCTCAGAACAGGGTTCCCCTCAAACAGCCTTCCTTTGAGAGCAGCATTCCCCAGGATAGAGGTCCCCTCAGAACAAGGTTTGCCAGAACAACATTCAATGAAGAACAGCTTCCTCTTCAGAACAACCTTCCCCAGAACAGGGTTACCCTCAGAGCAGTGTTCCCTTCAGAGCAGCATTCCCCTCAAGACAGGGTTTCTCACAATAGGATTCCCCCAGAACAGCACTGCTCAAACTGGGTTCCCCTCAAGACAGCATTGCTCAGAATAGGATTCTCCCCAGAACAGTTCCTTTCATTCACATCAGGGTAACTTAGCACAGTGTTCCCAGGGCAGCATTTCCCTCAGAGCAGATTCCCCCCAGAGCAGCCTTCCCTTCAGAGCAGTGTTGCCCTCAGAACTCAATATCCCTCATAACAGGGTTCCCATCAGTAAAGTGTTCCCCTCAGAACAGCAATCCCCTTTGAACAACAGCATTCCCCTCAGAGGAAGTTTCTTCAGAGCAGTGTTCTCCTCACAGCAGCGTTCTGCTCAGAATTTTATTTCCTTCAGAATGTGGTTCCCCTCAGAAGTTTCCCAGAAAAGAGTACCCGTCAGAACAGTATTCCCAAAACACGTTTCCCCTCAGAACAGAGTTCTCCAGAACTGAATTACTCTCAGAGCAAGGTTCCCCTTAGAATATCTTTTCCTCAGAACAGCATTCATCAAAAGGGTCCCCCTCTGAATATCTTTCACTAAAATATTCTTTCCCTCAGAGCATCATTTCCCCCAGAACAGTGTTCCCTAAAACAAGTGTCCCCTTAGAACAGCATTCCCCAGGACAGAGTTCCCCTTAGAACAGAATTATCCTCATAACAGTTTTCCCCTCACAATAGCATTCCCTTCAGACAGCATTCCCCTTTAGGTTTCCTCCAAAACTCTGTTCCTTACAGCAGCATTCCTCAGAACAGCATCCCTCAGAACAGCTACATTCCCCTCAGAACATGGTTCTCAGAACAGAGTTCCCCGGAACAGTGTACCCCTTGGAATCACATTCCCAAAACATGTTTCCCCTCAGAACAGAGTTCTCCAGAACTGAGTCTCCCTCAGAGCAAGGTTTCCCTCAGAATATCTTTTCCTAGAACATCCTTCCCTTCACAACAGCCTTTTGCCCAGAACAGCATGGCTCAAAACAGAATATTTCACATTCAAACATTCTTCTCCTCAGAACATCATTTTCCCCAGAACAACATTCCTTAAAACAGGATTTCCTTCAGAACAAGGTTTCCCCCAGAACAATGTTCTAGTCAGAACAGGGTTCCATTTAGAATGGGGTTTCTTTCAAAACAGACTTCCATAAAGAACAGAGTTCCCCAGAATAGTGTTTCTCTCAGAGCAGAATTTCCCAACATATGTTTCCCCTCAAAACAGTGTTCTTCAGAACTAAATTTCTCTCAGAACAGGGTTCCCCTCAGGGCAACATTCCTTAGAACAGGGTTCCCCTAAGAAGAGAATATTGTTCCCCTCAGAAGAATATTCTCCTCACAAAAGGGTTCCCCTCAGAACAGAGTTTTCCTCAGAATAGTGTTCCCTCAGAGCAGCATTCACCTCAGAACGATGTTCCTAGAACAGGGATCCCATCACAATAGGAGCCTCATGAGAGCAGCATTCTCTTCAGAGAGGTATTCCACTCAGAACAGCATTCCCCCAAACAGGGTTCCCTTCAGAACATCATCCTCTTCAGAACTCGGTACCCTTCACAGCAGCATTTTTCAGGACAGTGTTTCCCTCAGAAAATGGTTCCCCAAAGAAGAGAGTTCTCCAGAATAGCATACCTCTCAGAATGGCATTCACCAATACGCTTCCCCTCCCAACAACATTCTGCAGAACCGAGTATCCCTCAGAACAGGGTTCTCCCCAGGACAACATTTCTCGGAACAGATTTCACCTCAGAACAGGGATCTTCTCAGAACAGGGTCCCATCAGAACAGGGGTCCCCTCAGCAGTGTTCTACTCAGAGCAGCATTTCACTCAAAGCACTGTTCCTCAGAACAGGGTACCCCTCAGAAAAGCATTTTTCAGAACAGAGTTCCCCTCAAACCAGTATTCTCCTCAGAGGAGGTTTCCTCAGAACACGGTTCCCTCGGACTAGTGATCCCCTCAAAACAGCATTCCTCAGAACAAGGTCTTTTCAGAACAATGTTTCTCAGAAAAGGTTACTCCACAGAATACCTTTTTCCAGAGCAGCATTCCAGTCAGAACAGCATTCCTCAAACCAGGATTTCACTCAGAACAGGGTTCCTTAGAACAACTTTCTCTTCAAAATAATATTCCAAAAAAAAACACATTTCGGGCCGGCCCGGTGGCGCACTGCTACAGTGCACCGCTTGGGAGTGCGGCGGCGCTCCCGCCAAGGGTTCGGATCCCACATTCAGACCAGTTCCCGCTCACTGGCTGAGCGAGGTGCGGGTGCAGCACTGAGGGTTGCGATCCCATTGCCGGTCCTGGTCCGGTACGGGCGCGACACTGAGGGTTGCGATCCGTTGCCGGACACGAAAAAAGACAAAAAGGAAAAAAAAAAAAACCACATTTCCCTCAGAATAGCAGCCTTCCCCAGAACAGTTCCCCTCAGAACAGGGCTCCCCTTAGAACATTTTTCTGTGCCTCACATCACAGTCCCTCTCAGAACAGTATTCCTCACAAAGGGTTCTCCTCAGAACAGTATTCCTCAAACAGGTTTTCTCTAAGAATAGCTTTGCCAAAACAGCATCTCTGCTGCTCTCAGAAGAGCATATGCTGCTCTCAGAATATCATTTCTCAAATAAAGTTCCCTTCAGAACAGGGTTCTCCTCATAACAGGATTCCCCTTACAACAGAGTTCCCCAAAATAGCATTACCCTTAGAACAGCATTCCCCAAAACACATTTTCACTCTGAACAGCATTCTCCAGAACTGAGTTCCCCTCAGAAAAGCATTTTCTTCAGAACAGGGTTTCCCTCAGGACAACATTCGTCAGAACAGAACTTCCTTCAGAATATTTTCCCCAAGAATCTTTCTCCTCAGAACAACCTTCCCCTCAAAACAGTGTTCCCTTTGGATCAGCATTCACTGAGTACAGCATTCTCTTCAGGACAGGGTTCCCCAAAACAGATTTTTCCCTCAGAACAGCATTCTGCCTCAGACCTTGGTTTCCCTCAGAACTCAGTTTTGCCCAGAATTCCCTTCAGAACAGTGTTCCCCTCAAAACAGTTTTCCCCTCAGAACAGCGCCCCTTGGGCCAGAGTTTTCTCAGAACAGGGTTCTCCAAAAGAGAGTTTCCCTCAGAAAAGCCTTTCCCAGGATAGATATTCCTCAGAACAGCATTCCCCTCAGAATAGAGTTCCCCTCAGAACAGAGTTTCTTAAAACACAGTTACACTCAGACAGGATTTAAACAGCATTTTTCTCAGAACAGGGTTCCCCCAAAAGCAAAGTCCCCTAGAACAGCATTTTTCAAAACAGGGTTCACCTCAGAACAGCATTCTCCTCAAATTAGGATTCCCCTCAGAGCAATATTTTTCTCATGACAGCAATCCCCAGAAGAGTGTTTCCCAGAGAACAGCGGTCCTCTCAGAACAGGAGTCCCCTCAGAACATCCCTTCAGAGCAGGGGTACTCTCAGAACAGCCTTCCCCAAAACAGTGTCCTCCACAGAATGCAGTCTCAAAACAGGGTTTCCCTTAGAGTAGGATTTCCCTCAGAACAGGTTTCTTTGCAACAGGGTGAATCTTACAACAGCATTCTTCAGAACAGCATTCTTCTCAGAACAGAGCTCCTTCAGAGCAAGGTTCTCTTCAGAACAAGGTTCTCCTTAGAATAGTGTTTTTCAGAACAGGGTTCTCAGAACAACGTTCTTCAGAACGGGTTACCCCTGAGAGTACCTTTCCCTGGAGTATTCCCCTTATAACAGCATTCCCCAAAACAGGTTTCCCCTCAAAACAACGTTCCTCAAACCAGAGTTCACCTAAGAACAGCATTCCCTTACATCAGGGTTTCCCTCAGAACAGCATCCCTCAAAACTATTTTGAGGTTCCCTTCAAAACAGGGATTCCTTCAGAATAGTATTCACCTCAGACCTCGCTTCTGCATGGAACTCAGTTCCCCTCACAGCAGTGTTTTCCTCAGACCATTATTTCCCTCAAGACAGTTCCTCTTAGGACACAGTTTCCCAGAACAGCGTGCCCTTCTAAACAGCATTCCCCCAAAAATGTTTCCCCTAAGAACAGAGTTCTCCAGAACTGAATTCCCTTCAATTATCCTTGCCCTCAGAAAAGCCTTCCCCTGAGAAAAGCATTCCTCAAGAGAGGGTTCCCCTCAAAACAGCATTCCACTTAGAACAGGGTTCTCTTCGTGACAACATTCCTAAAACAGGGTTCCCTTCAGAATATCTTTCCCAAGAATATTGTTTCCCTCAGAACAGCCTTCACCTCAGAATGTTCCCCTCAGATTAGGGTTCCCCTCAGAACAGTATTCTCTTCAGAACAGTTTTCCCCAAAAAAGATTTTCCCTCAGAACAGAGTTCCCCTCAGAATAGTGTTCCACTCGGGCTGGCCCGGTGGCACACTCAATAGAGTGCGGTGCTTGGGAGCGCGGTGGCGCTCTCGCCGAGGGTTCAGATCCCATACAGAGACCGGTCCGCTCACTGGTTGAACGCAGTGCAGGCGCGACACCGAGGGTTGTGATCCCATTACCGGTCACAAAAAAAGACAAAAAGAAAAAAAAAAAAAAATAGTGTTCCACTCAGAGTAGTATTCTCCACAGGGCACTGTTCCCCAAAATAGGATTCTGCTCAGAACAGCATTCCTCTCACAGCAGCATTCCCCTCAAAACATGGTTTTCCTCAGAGCAGTGTTTCCCAGAACAGTGTACCCCTTGGAATCACATTCCCAAAACACGTTTCCCCTCAGGACAGAGTTCTCCAGAACTCTGTTCTCCTCCAAGGTTCCTTTCAGAACAGGGGTCCCCTCAGAACAGCATTTCCCAAAGCATGTTTCCCTTCAGAACAGTGTTCACCAGAACAGGGCTTCCTTCAGAACAGGTTCTCCTCAGAATGGGATTTCCCTAAGAATATCTCTATATGAACATAGTTCACCTCAGAATAGTGGTCCTCAAAATAGGGTTCCCATTAGAACAGGGGTCCCCTCAGAACAGTGTTTCCCTCAGAACAGCATTCTCCTCAGAACAGGGTTTCCCTTAGAACAGATTTACCCCAGAACAGAGTTCCCCTCATATCAGGGATTCCCTCAAAGACAGAACAACATTCCTCAGAATAAGTTACCCATCAGAACAGCATTCCCTAGAACAGACCTTCCCTCAGAACAGTGGTCCCAAGCTGGCCGGTAAGCTCAGTTGCTTAGAGCACAGCCTTGTAACTCCAAAGTCAAAGGTTCCGTTCCTGGTACCAGCCAGCCACCCAAAAAAAAAAAAAAAACAAAAAACTAAAGAACAGCGGTCCCCACAGAACAGGGTTTCCCTCAGAACAGTTAACCTCAGAACACTGTTACCCTCAGAATAGGGTCCCCTTAGAACAGCCTGCCCCTCAGATCAGAGTTCCTTTCAGAATAGTGTTCTGCTCAGAGCAGCATTCCCTTCAGAAAAGGGAACCCCTCAGAATATCAGTCTCCAAAACAGCATTCCCTCAGTGCACGGTTCTCTTCAAGCAGTGTTCCCCTCAGAGCAGCATTCCTCATACAACACGTGTTGTAGGAACATCAGGCATGGTTATTCCCTCTGTCCAATAACAGGGTCAGTACAAACACTTTGCTGTACTCTTGAGTGAAGCTTCTGGGGCGAGCACTGAGACTGGGCAGAGCTCAAGTGGGGCTTGCTTAATCCCTGCTACCTTAGTCCATTTAGTGTTGCTGTAAAAGAATATCTAGGCTGGGTAATATACAAAGAAAAGAGGTTTATTTGGCTTACAACTCTGGTGGCTAGAAAGTTCGAAATTAAGCAGTTGCATCTGGTAAGGGCCTCATGCTGCATCAATTAAGGGTGGAAAACAGGGAAGAAATCATATGGCAAGAGAAAGCAAGAGAGAAACCAAGAAAGCCAGACCCTTTTTAACAACCTGCTCTCTCAATCTATTTCCACGAAAGGAAGAACTCACTCACCCCCCGCAGGAGGACATTAATCTGTTCATGAGAGGTCCACCCGCATGGCCCAAACACCTCCTGCTAGGCCTCACTTCTCAACACTGCCACTTTGGCAATCAAATTTCAATATGTGTTTCGGGAAAAGACCATTTTCAAACCATAGTACCTGCACACCTCTTACTCGCTGTGTCCCATGAAGCAAACTACGGTGCCCCCCCCCCCCGGCCTCAACTCTTTATCTGTTAAGTGGGAATAAGGCCCTTGGTCCACTCACTGCATGAGAGGTGGGGTCAGTCAGTGGTGGCTGTGGAGATGACTGCTGTGGACAAGACCCCACGCTCTGGCTGGAATGAGGTACATGTCAGGGTGGAGTCTGATATGGCCCAAGACAAACTCTGGGGAAGCCGAGAGGCCTCCAGCTTGCACACACTGGGTCGTTCGTCCTTCTGTCCCACCAGGATTTCCAGCTGGTATGTGACGTCCAAGTGGACAGGCTGCTTTCCCACTGGACCCTCTCTCCCACGTCTCCTAACAAAACACTCTCTTTTTGTGCGTCACCAGGAGTTTACCATTTACTTCCAAAGACATGATGAGGTCCTGACGGAACTGGAAAAAGCCACCAAACGCTTTAAGAAGCTAGAGACAGTGTACAAAGAGTTTGAGCTCCAGAAAGTCTGCTACTTGCCTCTCAACACGTTCCTGCTGAAGCCCATCCAGCGGCTGGTACACTATCGCCTGCTGCTCAGCCGGCTGTGTGGGCACTACTCACCGGGGCACCGTGACTATGCTGACTGCCACGGTGAGCATGGGCGCCAGGCTCTGCCTCGAGGGCTGGCATGGCTGTGAGGAAGGAGCAGCTTTGGTAACCCTGAAGTCTGGGCTTCAGCACTGGCCACTGGCCTTCCCTCCCCTCTGGCTGTTGGAGGGGAGCAGGTCCCAGGCCATATCAGTTCTGTGCCTGTCCTGCTCCACCACCCTAGGACAAGGTTCTTCTCAGCTCCAAATCCAAACACCATAGCAAAGGACCTCACTGCCCTGCAAGGGTCACAGGGAATGGGGTGCTGTAACCAGGGTGGTCTCCTGCTACCAAGGTCTCCCATAGCCCCCACAAGTATGCTGGAAGGTGGGGTGCAACTCCCAGAGTGACCTGTTGCCTGTGGCGTTTCTGTCCTGGAGGTCTTGGCTCTAAAACTTACAAATATTTGGGCCAAGCTGGCCTGTTAGAAGTTTCTGATATAGATGGGCTTTGTCTGTCATTTCTGATTTGTGTTAAAGGAACAAAGGAATAAACTCTGACCTTTTTAACCTACAAATATGACTTCTAGTTGTAGTGTAAATTTAGTGCAAGAAATTGCTGTCTATCAGGAGGTTTTTACAAGTAAATTTATCAGTCATTAAAAGTATAAGATGAAGAAATATTCAGCATTTTCTTCTAGCTGGTTTCTGCATGGCCATTCTCTGATGAGCAAGAAACAAAATGGATCATACTATGTTGACAGCTGTCTCTCTTTATTCTAAAAGCAAGTGTTTCATGTTTGCTATAAAGGAAAATGACAAAATTATTTTTAAAAAATTTTTCAAGCATGTTAAGGGAAATATGAAATAATTATAGCATATTTAAAGTGTCATTGTCAATCGTAGCCCATAGTACTTTTGGGGGTAGGTCTGGAGCTGGGAGGAGAGCATGACCCCAGGCTCCAGGTAATCAGGGAGGTCATGCCAAGTGAAGAGGCCCAGGGCCCAGGTTCTGGTTATGTCTCCCTTGTGCTTGGAGACATATGACCTTGGAGGGGTCACTGTATCTCATGATATGTCAGATTCTTCATCAGTAAAACTTCTCTCATAGGCTGATGCAAAAATTCCATGAGGCTGTGCTTCTGAAAGTGCCTTGTAAGTTGTTAATGCAGCACAACTGTTGCCGTGATAGATTTGCTTCAGACCTCAGCCGTCTGTGCAGAGCTGGGAGAGCCCAGGTGATAAAACACAGTCTCGGGTGGCTCTTTTCCCACCCTGACCGCACTCCCACCCTGGGGCGCAGGCATGCCTGTCGAGAAAGCGCCATGCTGGAAAAGGCCCTTTGGTGTGCAGATGTTTCCAGCCTTCTTGGTCTTCCTGAGAACTTGAACTTGAATCCTTTTCGACAGAAGGTTGGGGGAGGGGGGTCTTTAGGGTGGGGTTTAGAGAAGGCAGCCTTGCATTTTTATTTATCCTTCATTTCAATAAGGGTTTCCCAAGGGCAGTGCCAGGCCCTGGCTGTCTGCTAAGTGTGTGTTGATGATCCATCAGCATCACGCACCTACTGTGTCAGCACTGTCGGCTTTGTGGAGGATACCAAGGAGGTCCGCGTGGTACATAAGAACTCAGCCTGCTGTCAGGTCTGAACCGTGTCCCCAGCTTCCAGCAGCTCCGGTGCCAACCCAGTGTGGCGCCTGTGCAGCCGTCCAGGCTTCCAGCCCCGCGCTCTGTGGACACAGCATCCAAGAGCAGGGTGGCACTGGGTGTGGTCCAGAGTGACTCACAGGACCAGGCAGCTGTGTGGCGAATGAGCATAGTGTGTCAAGTCTCTCCCAACAGGGGGTTCGGAAGGAGGGACTCGGACTCAAATTGGGTCTTGAGGGATGGCCAGGCTAAGAGAGGTGGGGAACCAGGAGCTGGGGGCAGGAGCTTAGGAATCTGCACAGAGCAGACTCCAGCTACCAGGGCTGCATGTCAAGACCTGTGGTAGTGTCACTGAAGTTCCTCCAATATCTTCAATGTCATGCTAGTGTCACTTATGAAAGAATAATTTTATCGTTTGTCAGTGATGATCTCTCCATGTGCTTCATTCTTACCTGACCTTATCCTCTGAAAGCTTTGAAGCAGTGTCATCACCTCCACAGAGGAGAAAATAGAGCTGGTGCAGTCACATGACTTAACACTAGCAGACTTGCCCAAGGCTAGAACTGAGGATGGGTGGTCTTGGGTAAGGGCTGTGGACCTCGTTCCGAGGTTCCTGTGGACCTAAGTTCCTGGGACCCACGAAGCACTGTGGCCAGGCACTAAGAGGGAGTCCTGATCAGAAGAAGGGGTGGTCCCCAAGAGTGGTTCCAGCTGCAGAGGTGGGGCTGGGTTTGGCCAGGCAGCTACTGCCACCGTGGCCTAGTCAGGGCTGGTAGACCACTCTGAGTGTCTGATTTTGTGGTTTGTCTTAAGTTTTTCTACCTGATTATAAACCTGATATTTTGTTTGAACTGTAAGATTAGCATCTGTCTCTCTGTTCAAAGAGAAGATTACAATTGCTTTGAAGGTACAAACCATTTTAGCCTTTAAAGTGCAGTAAACCGTTTTCCTTAAAGAACAAATACTGCCTTACCTGTGACATTAAATAGTTGTTTACAAAGCCTGTTTTTTCTCTTTACCAAGCCAGAGTGTTGGCTAGTCAACAGTTTGGGTGGAACAAAGTGCAATTTTTAGAATTATCTGCAAGAGCCTGTACTTGCTGAGCAGGCGCCCAGTAGGCAGACACAGTGGACAGCATCCTGCAGAGACCGAGTAGAATGTGCCTTGAGTTAAAATCGTTCCTGTCACAAGGTGGTAGGTGGAGGGTCTTGTCTATTCCGCTGCCTGGGCGCCTGTATTGAGGGGTCTCTCCACACAGGTGCCCTGAAGGCCATCACAGAGGTGACCTCCACACTCCAGCACAGCCTTGTCCGGCTAGAGAACCTCCAGAAGCTGACGGAGCTGCAGCGGGACCTGGTCGGCATAGAGAACCTCATCACTCCTGGCAGGGTGAGTGACTTTGCTTCGGGAAAGTTTTTTGAGCTAGTTATTTTATTTTATTTTTTTTGTCTTTTTTCGTGTCCGGCAACGGATCGCAACCCTCAGTGTCGCGCCCGTACCGGACCGGGACCGGCAACGGGATCGCAACCCTCGG